CTTGCCTGCTCCAGCCTGGTGTCAGCTTTTGCCAACGTGAGATCCATGCTCCCAGGATGGAGATCACCCAAACTCTGGATAACCTGTTCCAGTACTGCATTAGTCAAGATTTTTTCTGTCTTCAAGCTGAACCTTCCAAGCTGCAATTTGTGGCAATGTCACCTGTGTAACCCTCCCTGAAGAAGCAGGGAGCTGCTATAGGGTGTCCCGATGTCCTCTGCTTTTCCAGACTGTGCCCAGCTCCCTCAGTGTCATCTTGTAGATGTGCTTAAGGCTCCTAACCATCTACATGTGGATCTACATGACCATCATGTAATTATTTGGAGAAAAAAAAATGAGCATGGAATCCCAGCAGACTAGTCGGAGCCTTTTTGTGTGTGTTTTAGTGCAATCTGCCCTGGCCCTATTGCAATGGGGGGAAAGAAAAAAGGGGGCATGAAAAGAGCAGTCTTCCAAAGTATTGGGTTATGAATATCCTTTGGCATACTTTGCTTTGTTAATATTAACTAAGCTGTAGTGTTTCCAAAGTCTTAGTTCTGATTAACAAAATAGACTTCGACTACAGAATAGGACATCATTTTTCCAAGTCTTTTGGAATTCTGGGTCATTTTGTTAATGGATGGTTATGTTATGGATGTTATATTATAGACAAATACATGCTAGCTTTTGTCCATGGATTTATTAAAATGCTGTGTAACAGTTCAGTGATGCAGGGGTTTCAGATTTACTGGATTCCTTGACTTACAGCATTCAGTAGGTTTTCTCTGGCAAGTCAGCGTTCAAAATGCATAACAGAAAGAGTCCTCGGTATTGTAAGAATCAGAAAATTGGCCAAGTGTGACAGCTTGCAAAACTTGCAAAGGAGGTTTGAAGTATGGAAGCCATGGTATAATCCCATAAGTGGGTGCATGTTATAAGTGCTTACGCCAAAAAGACATTGTTTGAAGGATTTTCTTTTTTAAAAAGGAAAGAGCAAATGAATTTTAATTCATGGCATTTCGGAAGCTTTTCCAGGAGCACTTCTTGTTAGGACCTTTTTGCAGGTATGGTCTCTTCCTGATGAAGACAAGTAAGAGCCTCTGGGAAACAGGATCCTAGGAACTCACTGTATTCCATGCTTTCATCCAGAGTAAATAATTCAAACTATTTCTTCAGTAGGCATTGATTTTTACAGCTGCCAAACTGGGTGACAGTGTACTGTGTGAAAGTCCCTGAACTTTGGTTGCCCTGTCTTGCAGGCTGAGCCGATCAGAGTCCTGGTGACTGGAGCTGCTGGGCAGATTGCTTATTCCCTGCTCTACAGCATTGCCAAGGGAGATGTCTTTGGCAAAGAACAGGTAACTGCCACACTGAATTATCACTTGTCTCTCCTACACCATAGAATGGACTAATGTCAGCTTTGCAATCTCTAAGAAACCTGTTTTCTTGTAATTTTTCAGAATGATTTTCTTACAGGTTTTCAGAATGGTTTACCAATATGCAAGTAACTTATTCTTTGAGTGGAGAAAATGAGTCTTGCTGTACGTTGTGCAAGCTTTAAGTTGCTTGCTGAATTTTTTTTTTTGTAAATGGATTTTAAGTTGCTGTCCCTTACACAAGACATCTTGTTAGAAATGCTAGAAAAAGTTAAATTCCATTTAAAAGCAGATGACTGTAATTCACACTAAACCATTCCTTTCTCTACAGCCTCTCATTCTTGTGCTGCTGGATATCACTCCCATGATGACTGTGTTGGAAGGTGTAGTGATGGAGCTGCAGGACTGTGCTCTACCACTGCTGAGAGGTGGCCAGATTTTTCCTTGTATCTATAATATGTTCACATACAACTATTTAGCTGTACTGCTGCAGCTAATGTTAGGTGTTAGGACATATTAGATGACCCTTTCCTGGTTTTGTATTTTATGGAAGATAACTTAAACTCTCTCTGCAAACTACAAATAATGTTACCTCTCCAAATAATGAGCTTTATATAGAGAACTGTAAATGTCTACATTTTGGCTGTTATCATCTACTTCTAGGTTGTAAGTTTTGTATCTGGCAAATTGCCAGATGATTGTATCTGTATTTTGTCATAGTGGTAAAATAACTTTTTATTGTTGTATGTACCTACATGCTTTTGCTAAATCAAAAATCTTAAGTCTTCAGAAATGTCTTGTGAAAGAAGACACAGAGAACAAAATGCCTCATCAATCATCATGTAAACAAGCTAAGTTCTTATAGTCTAAAGAGGTGCAAGAAAGGGAATCACTAGATGCTCCTGAAGTTATTACAGGAGCTACAGTGCGTGCTGCTATACACATTAATGTACTTCAGTTTGAAGTGTTAAGGGAGAGGAGAATTATCATTTGTGATAGTACTTGCCACTAAAAACTAACGACGAACATTGGTACACATGTGTATATATATTTAAAGAGGGAGAGAAAAAAGGTGTCTTTTGATACAGGACTTTCTGCTGTGTTTTCAGAATTTATATTTAAAATTTTAGATAGTTTCTTTGTTTCTCCATACAAATATTTATCAATGACAAATATTTAGTCAATGGAGTTAGGGCCAAATGCCTATACTTAATATGTTTGGAAGGGGGAGGTGTTGTTGATGTCAGATCAGGTTATATATTATTTATGAACCAAAGAACAATCCCATTAATATTTTGCCATAAGTACTTATCTTTTTTTTTCCCATTTCCTTTTTTTTTTAGAGGTCATTTCAACAGACAAGGAGGAAGTTGCTTTCAAAGATCTTGACATAGCAATTCTGGTTGGCTCCATGCCAAGAAGAGAGGGCATGGAGAGAAAGGATTTACTCAAGGCAAATGTGAAAATTTTCAAGTCTCAGGGTGCAGCCTTGGACAAGTATGCTAAAAAGACTGTCAAGGTGAATATAGAAACTGAATTTTAAATGCTTTAAAGAGTCACGTAAAGAATACGTTGTAGAATGATGCCATTTAAGTACGGTCCTATTCTGTACTTGTATTCCTTTCCTTTAATCTTGGGTGTGGAGTATTTTCTGGAGCTCAGTGAGACAATAGCTTAAATATGTAGATGATTTAGTCCTAAATACATTCCCTGACAGAAGGTGAAGTTGTTCAGCAATTCTTAAAAAATGCTTTCTGCTTATTATGTCTTAGCTGGGAGAGCTAAATCATCCACATGAAATTTCCTGTTTTGTATGCATCTTTGGTTTAACATAATGACCCTTAACTTCAGTTTTGATATGGAATAACAGTTGCAAAAAAGGGTATTGTTTAGGCCTTGGTCTTTAATGCAGCACTGGAAGCTTTTAATTGTTCTCTGTCAGATTCCTTCAGCACAGTTAATGGGATCATGTGGCTGCTCTCCCACTGCTCTTAATCTCAGACCCAGACTCCAACTGTGCTTTGTAACTGTCTTTTAATGTCTACTTCCTCTGCTGATGAACTTCCTACTGATTCTAAAGACTTGTTTGCTTCTTCATACAGTTGGGATAAAAACTATCACTGTGGCTATTGCAGAGTAAGCGAAAATTAACTGAATTCATTTTCAAAAAGGAAATGCAAAGGGAGGTTTGTAGATTAGTTTGTGTGATTTAAATTGTATGGAGTTGGATGTTAATCATTTGAGGAACGTTAGTAGATGAAGGAAGAATCAGAAAATCAGTTTCCCATAGTAATAAATGGATCTAAGTTCAGGCCTGGTACTTTACTTCAAAATACCTACGACTATTGAGATAAGCAACTATTCTGGCTGCATTTTTAATTATAAAGCAGATTTTTAACACATACACACACACACACATATTTTATATATATAAAATAACAGCCAACTGAGCAACCTTCTATAATAAGGTGATGGCTGAGTCACTGTGGGCTGACTAGTGTCACATTTGAAAACAATATTATAAAGAAAACACTTAGAAAATATTTTTGTATGCTTACAGAAGATTCAGCAACTATAAACAACGTACACATAGAACAATCTTGAAGACAGCAAGGGGTTTGGAAAACTTAACTTCTTCACGATTTCTTTGAAGGCATAGCCATGGCTTGCAGACTGTATTTTTCTATATTTCACTTAAGGGAGTCATTTTACAGAAATGGCGGTTTGACCAAACATTGCTTTATTTTTGCTTCTTTATCTTTCCTGATTTGCTTTTCCCTTTGCTTCCTTCTTTAGGTTGTGGTAGTTGGGAATCCAGCTAATACTAACTGCCTGATTGCTTCCAAGTCTGCCCCCTCAATACCAAAGGAAAACTTCAGCTGTTTAACTCGCCTGGATCACAACAGGGCTAAATCTCAGGTAAAACAAACTATTCAAGGCAGAATGTTTCCTGATGTTGCTGCTAAATAGAAACAGAGCAATGCTCTCAAAGAAACCACAGTTGAGAAGGGGGAGTTAATAGAATCAACTTGTTTTTTTTTTAATTCCTTATTAGATTGCCCTGAAACTTGGTGTGTCTGCTAATGATGTGAAGAATGTCATCATCTGGGGGAACCACTCCTCCACTCAATATCCAGATGTTAACCATGCAAAGGTAAATGTGAAAGGAAAGGAAGTTGGAGTTTATGAAGCTATAAAAGATGACAGCTGGCTGAAGGGAGACTTTATCCTGGTAAGCTTTTGTTTTATAGTGTTCTTTCTGCACCTCTGTTTTCTTTTCATTTAAAAAAAATTACTGTAAACTATGTAAACAGATTTAGTGAAGCAGCTCTTCTAGAACAAATTGCTCCAAGGATTGTCTCTGCTGTTGAAAAAACACATTGTGAAACTTATGTTAATAGAGAAATATATTTAGGATGCTAATACTGTTCGGTAAAATAATGAGTCACAACTAAGCTAAGATCAACATTATCTGACATAGAGGCACTACTGGTCACTACTGACCTGTGTCTCGTGTCCTGATGGCTCCTGCTTGAGAGATCTGGTAGCTTATGAGAGGCTACTAGCTATAAAGGAGGTTTTAAGAATTGGCTAAGCCTATGAAATATTCCGTTATGTTCTGACTCTTTGAATTGTATTTTCTAGATTGCAAGCCATATTTATTTGCTGATAGAACTCTAACTTGACTGATTAAGGAGTTTGTAAGGTGGTCTTTCCTCACAGCATTTACTAACAGCATCTAGACCAATCCATGGTTTTGCTGCTTAATGACCTGAAGGTTTTCTTTTTCTTTTCTTTTTTTTTCTTTTGTCTCCTCTAACTGCAGACTGTTCAGCAACGTGGAGCAGCTGTTATCAAGGCCAGGAAGCTGTCCAGTGCCATGTCAGCTGCCAAAGCTATCTGTGATCACGTGCGAGACATCTGGTTTGGCACTCCTGCGGTAAGATGCAGCACTTGAGCAAGTGCTTGATGGCCTAATACCGGTGCCTTTGACCTCAGTGTATGTGTGAGGGGAGGAAGAATCAGTTTTTCTGGAATAAAGTGTCATAGAAAATGTTTATATATGTAAACTACTGGTTGCTTATATATGTGTGTGTATGTATATATGTATGTATGTGTGTGTATATAATATAGCTTTTAGCAGTGAAAAGTAACTTGACTGACTCTTTTCCAGGGGGAGTTTGTTTCCATGGGAGTCATTTCTGATGGCAATTCTTATGGTGTCCCTGAAGATTTGCTATATTCATTCCCTGTTGTAATTAAGGTAACTAAACCATAATTAAGACCAAGGATCTTCCATAAGATCTAGGTGAACTGTCATATGAGCTTGTCAACACTAGTACAGTGATTAGTGTTGTTCACAAACTAAGATTCTAACTCAATTTTGCACTGAGCAAGCTAAGTTCTAAATGAACCAAACTCAAAATCCTCTTCACAGTTAGCGCTTTATTTCTTGTAGTGCCTATGCTGCAAAGTTAGCTTTTTGCAGCCTGAATGATACTTGTCATCATATGGACTTTTTCCCAAACAGGACAAGACCTGGAAGTTTGTTGAAGGTCTTCCTATCAATGACTTTTCTCGTGAGAAGATGGATCTGACTGCTAAAGAGCTAACTGAAGAGAAGGAGACTGCTGTGGAGTTCCTTTCTAGTGCATGACTATATGATGGTGAATTAGAAGATCAGTCAAGAGTGGAAGAATCTAAAAGTCGTCTCTAAGTCGCTACCAAACACTATTATTGTATTCAAGTCAACTGTCTGTGACAACTGTGCATTTTAAAGTTCATATGCTTACTGGTACTGCTGTGCCTGTTGAGTTATTAGCAATGAGAATGTTAATAAGTAAAACTAGTTTGTTGACCAAACTTTGTTCAATACTGTTAGCTTTTTGTGTACAATACAGAACAATTATTTGCCTCAGTCTTGGCTATTAACGCACAAACTTGGTTCTGATTAGAACTTGGCACTATTGGAATATCCTAGCCTGTGATTGTTTTGCATCTATCTGCTTACCTGAAAATGAAATCAAAATGCCAATAGTTCTCCTTAAGCTAGTATTTCAGCAAATCAAACCTCCCTGTGCACAAACAGTTTCTGAGTGTCTGCTGTTCACTCTGGTTATGCTCTACAATGTTTGTCAATAGAAATATTAAAAGATGCTTAATCACACAATGGCTGAGTGGTCTGTTGTCCTTTATTCACACATTTCGGTTACATACACATTTCAGTTATGTACCCAGCTCACTATGGTAGTACAGCTAAGAAAAGGCTATTTTGAGGGGGTAAGGAAACTAGATCTAAGCAGTTTTCTTGTCCACTAGCCATTTGATTTGTCTTAGCCAAAGTTGGTTTATGTGAAAGTCAGGCCTAGGCTAAAAACAGTAGTTGGGCAGATGTATCCTCCAGTGCTACAATGAAAAAGCAGCACTTCTAGTTTCAGTCAAAGGCAATCAAAGCCTCTTGTCCCAGGAGATGCAGACTCCTTTGCTCAAGTGAGGCTGATATACTTGCGTGGCTCTTTTACTAGTACAGTCTCCAAATTTGTAACTGGAAGATGCCATCCATCTATATCATTCTGTAATTGCTCCCTTGCAAGCCAACAAGTAAATATTGCTGTAACTCTCTACCTAGCTGCATGTTTTGCCTGTCTCATCTAAATATGGTGGGCTTCAGTTTTCTTGCAGTATGCCAGGTCGAAGACAGAGAACAGAAACCTGGAAGACAACAGGAAGGAGTTCATGTAAGCACTTTAAATACTACTCTGATTATGAATGCAAATGCCTGTGATAGCAGGATTTAATAGTAGAATGTCCATGATAAGATTCTGACCCTACTGTTCTACTCAAGTGTTTGTGCTATGGTGTTTCCCAAGTAATTTGATTCCCCTTTTTTGATTTGATGCCTTTAAATGACTGTTCAAGAAAGAACCATTTCTACCCCAAAAAAAAAAAAGTCAGGTGTAGAAGTTTTATCTGAACTTCAAACAGCAGAAATGGTTTTGTTTGGGATTAATCAACTAAAATAGAAGATAAATGAAGAGTCGTCAATAAAATAATCTTTAAATACAAAGTCTGTGACACTGGTAAGGGTCTCATAACATTACTGTGGCCATTAAGGGAAAATAATACAGTGGCAGAGCAGTATTTGTATAGTTGAAGGAAAAAAAGTCATTTTAGAAAACAGGAAAGTGTACTGCAGTGCAGACTACCTCGAGACAGAGCAGGAAAGGTGAATGCTCTGGATGTTTGTGAAGCAGACAAGAAATATCTTTACTATATCTATTTTAGCATATATATATATATATACACACATATATGTTTTCTTTTCCCCTCCTTCCTCTAAATCCTTAAGAGTTTATCCATGGAAAAGACATCTCCACTTGTCTTCAGACCTTTTGGGTAATTTCTATGGAAATTGGAGAGGTAGGGGAAGCTCGTACTGTGATGGGTGTCATCCTGTGTTCATACAATGCCAGAAAACCCCAGGTTCAGTATGAGCCCAGGACTGAAAGGCATTAATTCCAGTAATTTGCTCCATCACATTTTAAGACTGCACATTTTGAAGTGAATGTGCTAGAAAATACCCCAATGCATCTTCTTACTCCTTTTTGAAAGGTACAGGTTTATGAAAAGAAAAAGTACATACATCTGTGCCAAAAAACTGCAAGTAATAAATCATGCTGGTGTTGCAGTAGGTTTTTTGCCATACCTAATTAACACTGCTGAAGGAAAGAAGTCCTTCATTTAGTTTTAATACTGAAAGTTATTCTTGTACGGTTGTCTGATGTTTCTGTTAAAGCAGCCTTCTCCAGGAGACACTTTTTTTGTGGAGTGATGCTCTACAAAGTGAGGGATACACTCCGTGTATCAGAACCACTGCAAAATTAAACCTGGTCCCTGATCAACTATCACATGATATATTTACCTAATCAAGTAAACAGTTGATTCCAATTTGTTTCCACTCCTGTTGTGAGTTTTTATTTCCCCCAGGCTTCTACGACAAACAATTTAACAGGAAGTCTGATATGCTCGTTGCTTGCAGGCCTAATTGGGTTTGAGAGTTTGCTAGTAGGTTGCTATTTCGGTGGTGGATGTTCTTTGTATTCATGTATCTGCAGTGATTTTATTTTCTTTTGGTTTTTCTTTTTTCCCATGTTTTAAGTATGAGCATGACCTAAACGAAGCAGCTGAAAGCGCTGGATTTGCGCACAGAAGGAAAGATTCAGAGGAGACCTTAGGGCTGACTACAACTACGTAATGAGAGCGTGGAGGGAAAACAGGTCCAGGCCTTCTCAGAGATTTGAGTTTTAAGAATTAGATTTAATTCTGAATGGTTTATGCATGGAAAACTGAGAACCTTTACGGTCCTGGCAGAGTTCATGCTTCGGCACAAGGGTCCCAGGGAAGGCTGGAGCCCGCTCAGGTATGTTTTGTCGTGTAGTCCCTCTGTGTCTGGCATGAGAAGGCCATAGAAAATGCAGCAGATCTCAAATCCACCTTTCATGCTGGTGTAGCAACCAGTAGCATGTGAGGCTTCCTGTGTTTTCCAAAGGATTTTCCATTTCCAGCAAGAATTCCTGTCATGACGGAGAGAAAAAACCAATGCTTTTGGCAGAAAGAACACAAGATGCATTTCAAGTTTTTCTTGTACCTATTGCAGCTACTGCTTAAAAAAACAACAGCGATTGCAAGTGAAGCTAGAAAAACTCTAGCTCTTTTGAATGAGTCCAAATCAATGGATTTACCCTGATCCTCACACAGACACACAGAAATCTGCACTTTGCTCATATGTATGAGGCATCTTTTCAGATCAGCAGGATTGGAAGCTTGCTTTATACCAGGAAAGAAAACAGAATTGCTCAGATGCGGTGTGCTTTCAAAGCACCAGGAAGGAGTGAGATGGTTTTATAATACTGAGGAAAGACCTCCTGAAAGAGTTTATTAGCGTTTTTTTTCTTTCTTTTTCCTACTGTCTGTGTTTTGAGGATTTTTGCAATTTGTAGATGTATTTTCCATTACAAATAGTGAGTCTTGAAGATAAGTACAGCTCAGATAAAATGAAAGAGGCACTGCTGTAAATGCAACTATTTGCAACTAAGAATTCAGACAATTATTTTGTATTCAAATACCAAGTGTTTTTGAAAAGCACATTCCAACAATTTTAAAGTTGTAGCTTTATAGAGGCACTTGACATGTTATTGAATCAGAGTAGGGAAGGAGCAATGAGCTGCTTAAAATGAAATATTGTGAATGACGGTAAACAAATTTATGAGGAAGCTGTAATCTTCAGCTGGGGTAGAAATAAGTCCCATTGTGTTGGTCTTGCAGAGACTTTTCTCGTGGCTAAAAATTCTATTGCACAATTGCTTTTCTCCAAATCTGCTAACCACAATTATCAAGCGTTTTGTAGCTAAATGCCACAAAGGATTTGCCTGGAGACCTCTGCCTACTTTCTTTCAAAAATATAGTCATTGTGCCCATGGGAGGGCTCAGACACACTGAAAGCTGTATTAAATCAAGACAGCTCACGTTTGATGCTCTGAGCATTTGTAGACTCCTGATGGAATATACTATATTAACAAATCTCTTGCCCACTTAGGACTTCTCAGTAGTTCTGACTTTGCACCGTAACCACTTAATAGTCCTCCGTGGCAGAAAGCCCAGAATTCAGGCTATCCTGTTCCCATTTCTCTCTCTCTCTTTTTTTTTTTTTTTCTCTCCTTATTGCAGCTGAAAAAAATTGGAGTAGAACAAGTTGACACGAAGCAGAGCTGTACTCCCTTTCCGGCAGATGGCACTAATACATACATTTGGTATATTCACATGCTCACATACTCTCCTGATCGGATGATGATGGAAAATCCATCCAGGGTTCAAAGGACTGCCCTTACAAGACTAGAGCTTCACACTTACCATAAGGCTACACGTAACCATGCAAAGGATTTTTTTTTTTTTTTTACACCTAGCACCAAGAATTAATGTGCGAAGTGAAGATGAGCTTTTATTTGCTGTCAGCAGTGAAGGAACTAGAACATACTTGGGTGGGCAACTCCAGGCTAGCAGCTCAGGTGAGTTGCACTGGGCTAACTAGTGGTTGGATTTTGCATCTTTAGTGTTGGTATGTTCAGCAGCAGGGCACACACACGCAAAGGCAAAATTCCACAGCTAAGTCAAAACTGAGAAAACAGATTGCAAAAATACACTTTGCTAAACTTTGGAATCCATTTTAAAGCCAAATCATCATTTAGGATTTGTAAAACAGCAGAATTGTGCTTTCAAAAGTATCATATCTAATATGGTCCTCTGTTGCGAAATTGTCACTGGTTATATTTATGTATATACCGTTTTGCTTTCTCACTCACCAGTATTTCTGAGCAAACACAGGAGACTTGCATCTTTTTTAAACATGACACCAGTAGCACACCCTGGCTGATGTGACCTTCATGACAAACACTGCCTGTGTAGATACCACTATTTCCTAAGCAACTGGGACCAAAATCCTCTCAGGGCTTGAGAGACGTTTTACAAAACCACTGAGTTTCCCAAGAAGGAAGAAAACACTGTAGCTTTATAGATGAACGAAATAGTAATAAGTGGTTTGAGCACCTTGGCGTGGCAAAGGCACCAGATTTCAGCTTGGCTCTCAAGCCATCCTGCAGCAAGCTCATGTCCCGCGGGGACATGCTGGGATTAGAGGCATAACGAGGATCGGGCAGCCACAGAGGCACCGTTTCTGTTTATACATTGCAATTGTGACATGACAGGAGCAAGATAAGACACAGAGAGAGAGATGATTTCCAGGTGCCTGCCCGTTGGCTGGCGTCCACCTCTTGCCACCATGACCAAAAGCAGGCGCCTGCTTCCTA